CCTTGATTGGTACAGAGAAGGGGAAGGATTTCAACACAGGGACGGATGGTCTCTTGCGTTCTATCAATATAAATATTAATAAAATATATCCAATAATTAATAAATATTAATTTAATTCTCTAAAAGTTAAATCTGAATAACATACCATGTTTAGTTGCTTAGACAGTTTGATTTAAGATTAAATTTGAGTTAATGAAAAATAACAGAGCGAAATATATAGTTTTTTAGATTGAAAAATAATATAGAAAAATGAATAAAAAGTTTGTAATTGATTTTATTTATGTAATAAAATAATAAAAGGTGTAAAATAATTTAATATGAAAAGTAATTTTTAAAAATAAAATTAAAAATGAAAGTAAATCTTAAATTAAAAAAATAATATAAGGTGTTAAAAAATCATATGTAAAATAATAAATTAAAACATTTAAAATAAATATAAAAGCACACATTGATGAAATATTAATAATTAATAAATAAGTTATAAATATTATATCTATATATATATATATATATGTATATATATATATTTAAAAAGGTAAATACAAATAAAGTGCATGTTTTTCTGTAAATGAATTAATTTTTCGTTTTTTCATTTTTCTATTTTTCTTTTCTATCCGCTGAAGTAGATTAAATTAAGTGTACTAGATCTTACAGTTGGAGTCTTGATTCTACAGTAAGAAAGTCACATCTACATCATTCCCTGTGACCACAATATCTGGACTCTATCGCTGAACACCATTGCATTTGTTTCATATCTTGTATTGTATTTTGCAAGCCTTTGAGTTATTATATCAGGATCTGAAAGATAGCCATATGACACAGGATCGTCGTGTTCAAGACTTTAATGTCATGTTGTTCTTCCTCTTTTTTTATCAGGAACGACGTATTACCAAATATAATATTCAATTTTTTAAAAGAATTGATTAAAAATATTGTCTGGTCCCAATTTGAGTATTGTCGACGTCAATATGTACTCCATTAAATTAAATGATTTAAGTGATTAATACATCATATAGTAGATATGTACTGTATGATATGATAACACCAATTGATAAATATATTATTTTTAAACATTCATAGCATAAAAAATATATTTTTACAACAATTTTATAAAAAAATTTAATTTGTGAAGTCAACGTATGCACAGTACCAAGATCCAGAAATCTATCATTAAGTGAGAAACATTCAACCAGTACTCACTTTGAAGGTCTTTTATCTTTGTCTTCGGTTTCGCATCTTGCTTCCTGTCCACAAATACTGAAAGCTTTTCTAATGGCTTCCTCAGTGTTTGTGAGCTTCCACGATGAAGACATCCACTTCATCACAGGTTTTGTTCTTGATCCTCTCAGAAGTAGCGGCATCCACGTCTTCGTTAAAGGTGAATCCAGAACTTTCGACCTCTTTCAAGCTATTGACCGCTCTCGCCTTTTCATTGTGGTCCTTTCCAAAAACTATGCTTCCTCAATTTGCTGTTTACGTGAACTAGTGGCCATCATCGATGCCGTTGAATCTTCTCCAAGGTCCGTTCTGCCTATTTTTGATGATGTCCAACAATCTGAGGTACTATTTCTGAATGGATGTTATGGGCAAATCTTTTCGAAACACGAAGAAAGATTTAGGGAACACAAGCAGAGGATGGAAGAAATGCAGAGATGGAGAGAAGCTCTCACACGAGTGGTTGGTTTCCCGGGTTTGAATATGGAAAATGTGTAAGTATTCCGCTCTTGCGTCGTCATGGATCTCGATTTACTTTCTATATGTTTCACCATTTCTTAGTCAATCATGTTTATAATTTTTTGACGGAGTTAATTCTTAAAAATTGAAATCTACTTTTTATTATCTTCTACTGTACAAATACATTCTGCTTTGCTTTTCTTGGGTGATAATTTGATATTCTTCATTTTTTTAATACTTTCAGGACAGAACATGGAGATTTTGATTTTGTTCGATATGCAGCACATATTTTGGGTCGTGAGTTTTTAACTTCTCAAAATGAAACAATATCCAGCACATATGGAAAATTTGACGATATTGTTCAATATAAAGATGGAGATGAAGTTTCATACAAGGAGCTGCGAGGTTTGATTAGGTTAAGGGATTTTATCAGCCTCGTGTTGACTTATCCAGTGAAGTTAGAAGAGGACGGTGTATTAAGATCCTGGATTAGTGCATTTCCTGAATGGAAAGCTCAGTTATTTTCCACTGATGGTTTTCCTGGGATTTGTAAACCATGGAGTCTATTAACCGAGAAGGCACTGGGATGCATGAAAGGATTCATGCCAGTGGAAATAATGGCTGAAATAGAAAGTGGCGAGAGATCCCTCTTCAACCGCCATAATGATGTAATACCAGAAGGCCTTCTCCCCCTAAGTGTTGATCTCGCAGTTGACCAACTAATTCAAACTTTGTTTACTGTAGATTACTGTGCGCGCTATATCAGATTGTTGACCAGAAACTCGTCTGAAAAAGAATCTGTAGTAAACAAAATACATACAGCCTTGGAAGCTAAACACAACATGTTTGGAAATGACCAAGATTTTCTGATGGCCGTATGGATCAATGCCTTAACATGTGAGACTGATGCGGAGGTTCACGTTCAAGAAGAAATCAATAAGATCATGGTGAGTATTTCTATGACAGAAGGTGACGACATGTTAACTACACTAGACACTGACAAAAAGAAGAGCAGCAATAGGCTGTTGGTGATTGTAGTGGATGCAGATAGCAACAGGAAGCTGGACCTCCAAAAAGTGCAATTTCCAAGTGGCATAGTGGTGTTGATAGCAACTGAGTCTTCAACACAAGCGATGAAGGATGATGACTTTGGAATTGCATGCACAATGGATTTGAATATTTGGACCCAGGATCATATGTTGCCTTGGAAACTCTTCTATACGTATGTGCGAAGTTGTATTAGCTGTAGCACAGTGGATTCATCAATGACCATTCAGAAAATAGCGGTGGAAATAGTCAAGAAAAGCCATGGCCATCTTCTTGCCATTGTCCTTGTGGCAAAACATCTTAGGTATGTGAAAGATGATAAATACTGGGAGCTTGTACTTGACAAATTAAGCAACCCGAATCCTTTCTATGATTATCAAGATTGTGACCGAATTGGCATCAGTAGAGTCATGGTCAATGCATTTGTAAATATTATTTGGGAAGACATCGATGATGAACTAAAGCTTTGCCTCCAACTCAGTTTACCTGTTCACAACATTAAGAATGGGGTGAGAGATGATATCTTGGTTTCTTATTGGGCTAATACATTACGATACACACAAGAGCTTGGTGAATACAAGAGACAGTTACAATATTACCTCGAGGAGCTTCTAGACTGTTTTCTCTTGTTGAAATTTGAAAGTAGAGATGTCTGTTTGCCAATAGAAACCTATGATATAATTAAATCATTACAAATCTCAAAACCTTCCATCATATGGCATGGTGCATTAGGATTGACGGATATTGGACAATGGCATAGTCTTATTCAGATAGAATTGGTTAACAATAAAATATGTGAACTGCCACAATCACCAGACTGCCCCAAACTCAAAGTGTTGTTGTTGCAGGGCAATGCTGATTTATTGGATATCCCTGATTTATTTTTCGACCACATGCCTCTACTTCAACACTTGGACTTATCCTACACTAGTATAAGGGATTTGCCCCCTTCTCTCGCCAAATTGATGCAACTTAAGAAACTATATCTTAAAGGTTGTGATCTCTTCATGGAAATATCCCCGCAAATTTTTCAGCTGAAGAATCTTGAAGAGCTTGATCTTCACGGGACTTTGATAACGCATTTGCCAAAAGACATTAGAGAATTGATCAACCTGCAACGCCTAGTCCTATGCTTTGATGCATACCATCAAGTACTTAGTCGTGGTAAAAAGGGCAAGCAGATTTCTAACACAATGATAATTCCTCCAGGAGTGATATCAAATCTTACTCAGTTGAATTATCTAAGCCTTGACGTCGACCCTGAAGATGAGCAATGGAGCGAGAACGTTAATGGTGTCTTGATGGAAATTTTGGGACTAGAGGAGTTGAAGACGGTGAGCATATATGTTCCAGAGGCTGATCTCTTGGAACTCATACCGGCCAAAAAATTTCTCAATTTCCGATTGGTTGTTGGTCATCACATGCGGCGTCTAATATCCCGTGTAACACCTGAACTAGAGACAAAATTCAAACATTTTGACTATAGCATGAAGTTTGTTAATGGTGTAAATGTTCCCAATGGTGTAAAGATGAATCTTGGTCGCTTCAAGGCTTTGTACCTTGACCGACATATGACCAGCAAGAGTCTCTCGGATTTCAATTTGAACAACGTACGCATGTTGAAAGTTTGCATATTGGCGGAATGTAATGAAATGGAAACAATTGTCGATGGTGATTATTCACCTGATGAAGATTTTTCTCTAATGTTGGAGTTGTTGAGTGTATTTTATATGAAGAATTTAAGAAGCATTTGCCAAGGGTGTGGTCCCTTTTCCTACTTAAAGTATATGGCATTACACACTTGCCCCATGTTAACTACTATCTTCAACTTACGTAATTTTATCAGCCTTCCCTTTTTGGAAGAGATTCATGTTGAAGACTGTCCAAAAGTAACGACCCTAATAAGTGATGACTCACCAAAACGTAAACCAGCGTTTTCCCTGCCCAAGTTGAGAGTGATGTCGCTTCTTTATCTTCCCAACTTGGTGAATATTTTTAATGGCCTGCGTGTTGAACATGTTTTAGAAGAAATGATTTTTTATTGTTGCCCAAAACTCCAAAGTCTTTCCAGATCAGAGTTGCCATGGGTATTTTTGAAGTTCATCAAAGGAGAAAGCATATGGTGGGAAGCATTGAAATGGAGAGTATCCGAGTGGGGTTATGGTGGTCGACCCAAATTCTTTGAGCAATTTTTTAAACCAATTAATGTGGAGGTTGGCATGATGAACCCACCATCCGCACATCAAGAGACTCAACTAAATAAATATCTCGGCGGAATGTATCAGGTAATTTTTACTTATCCTCTTTTTTCAAATTTCATTGTGTTGTAGATGTGTTGGAATCTTCCTAGACTCAAGATCTTTTTTGAAGCTCAAGAGTTAAGCCATGGGGAAAAAAATACCCTTCCTATTTTGGAAATATATAATTTTTTTATCCAGAATCAAATAAAACATTTCTTGGAGTGCAAGTTTTATAATACCTTTATATTATATTAGAGTAAAAATTGAAAAATGATCTTTAGGAGTGATGTACCACAGTGAAATTCAAAAAAATAAAATTAAAACCTTATACAATGATCCTCAAACAAAAAGGTATTGTGATGGATGGTTTTCAATATATTCCTTGATTTTTTTCTATTATGTAAATGTATGAACAAATTCATAAATGGGGACATCTTTCTCATCTTCCTAAAAATACTTGAAAGATTAAAGATAGATCAATTTATTAGATTAAAAATATTGTTTAATATAGTTGGAAAATCGTCAGGATTATGGGATTAAATTGATTTTGACATTATGTAGCTATGTAATTGTTAAGACGGTGTTTTACCTATTAAAAAAGTGAATATGATAAAAAAAATAGTTGTCTGTTTTTTATATTTTAAAAAATAGTTAATATATGTTTTAGTATATCATAAACATCATTCTTTAAAAGAAAAATAAAAAGCCGCAAATTAAGTGTCAAGCAAACTTAAAGGTCATTCTTTAATGTAAAAGAGCCTGGTGGGCATTCAAAATACTTTATCTAGGAAGCCGCAAGATCAATATTTTCATTTTCCAAAGTATTATACCCTTCACCTATTAAAAGAAACACAAAAAGAATGAATAATATCTTATCCTTCAATTTTCTTTCTCAGATACAAAAGTTTATTTTTTTAATAATTATATTATCTCTAAACGTGTTTGTCAAGTGGTTATTTGAGTGTCGAAAAAATGTTTATCTATCAATTTTTGTTTAAATATGGATTAAATTGAATTTGATTCAATAAGTTAAATGGATAAAGTCAAGTTAAATATGAACTAATCCATAATTTACTATCAATTTTATCTATCAATTTTTTTAAAATATGGATTAAAATATGGTAGATGCTTATACCAATTTCTCGCATCACCACATTTGTTAAAATTGGTATATTAATAGCAAGACTATCTTTTAATGTGCGTATTAAAATAAGCCATTGCAGCTACGAGGACCAAAATTATTCAATTTTCAAATGTACGGATAAGATGGAGCAATTCAAAATTACTCGAACTATAGGAATCAAAATCATTCGCACATTAAACTAGAAAAACCAAAAGTGGAATTAAGTTAACCTTTTTTTTATGAAGAAACAAAATTAAATTCACCGCAATTCTTCTTGGTGCTTGCTGAATTGTGGCAAATTTTTTTCTTGCTTGAACTTAATTATGTTTAGAGATTTAAATAAACAAGTTTGTTCATATTTATCTTTCTACCCATCAAACTACAACCTTTTGTATAACTATACAATAATTAGTTTTGTTACTGTGATCATACCCTCTGAAATTCATCTTTGGTATTTAATTACTTAAATATCTTCGTTTCAGGGAGTTTCAAGCTCTACCGAGTTGATGACGAAGTTACATTTAGAAACGCCTCGTTTGTTGCCTTCAACCCCATTTCCGTTATCGGACAGTAAAGAAGGTGAAGCCCAAAAGCGGAAAGCCGTTATTGAGCCAATAGTAGTACCACCGTTGTTAAGAAGGAAACCAAACCAGGTTTGAGATGCCTTTCTTATTCGTGATTGATTGTTTTTTGTTTTCGTTCTTGTATGCATGAGTTGGTTTTCTCGCATTATAAAAGCATGTTTGATAAACCTGTAAAATTATATTTGGAGAAATCATCAAGAAAGGCAATGTAATATTTAGTACCATTAGAAGCAGCAACAGGGGAGCGTCCCCACATGTCAACAAAAACAAGTCCAAGGGGTTTAGTGTAGACAATAGTAATAAATGGTAATTGATGAGACTTAGTAATAGCACACATGTAACAGAAAATATGTTTGTAAGAAATATTACACAAAATTATGAATAGTTTTCGCAGAGGCATGGCCAAGCTAGGAATGCCATAATTGAAACAAAGATATTATAGTTTGAAGATTAGTATTATAAGCACAACGCTGACAAGTTGATTGAAAAGATGGAGAAACATATAATCCATCTTTAATTTTTCTTGGAGGATTATCTCCTTGGTGTCCTGAGTTTTAACAAGACAATGGTTAAGAAATAAGTAAAAATACACATTATTGTCTTTAGCAAATTGAGAAACACTCATTAGATTCTTGGTGATAGTAAGGACATGTAAAAGATTATTCAAGAGATCAGTTTTAGGCATGTGTGAGTGACGAAAATAAGTTGTGTCGGTGTGATATGCATATCTGTGCCATTACCTATTTTCACAACATCAGTGCTACTGTAGGCAGTCATTTTGCTGAAAACGGTGTTGTCACATGGGTAATGTTATGCGAAGCACTACTATCGGGACACCACAGTGGATCACAGAGAGTGGAAGGAGTGCTCAGTATAGAAGGCTCGCCATCACCTTGAGCTGAAGGAAAAAATAGAGAGGAGTTAGTAGTGATATTGGAGGATGAATCAATGTCATACCTACGCCAGCATTCTTGCCACAAATCTGACACTGGATTTTGGAAGTGTGGAATTGACCAGAATTAGAGGAGTTCGAGGATCTTTTGACATTGGATTTGAATCCAGTGGATTTCTTGTTGGAAAAATTTGTCCGATAATTCGTGCGAGCTGTGCCACGATCACTGTTATATTGGTAATTGTTTTTCTTGTTGTTTTGTCTTGATTGAGAAGAAAGGTGCTGCGAAACTTTGTAATATTGGCTTGAATTAGTTGTTGGTCAGCAAAGCTGTGTTTCTCAAATCGGTCTTCTTGGACGAGTAAGAGGGCTTTGATATCTTCAATGCTGTACGGATCAATCCGAGACATAAAAGAAGTGATAAACCCAACATATTCATTAGATAAGCCCTCCAAAATAACTTCAATGTGGTCATCAGTGATGATCGGTGCTCCAATGGCAGCAAGAGTATCTACAATTTTCTTGATATCAAGATAATATGTAGTGATAGACCGATCCTTGGGGTTTTCTCATTGAAGTTTGAGTTTCTGGATCTTTGCACGTGTGTGAATGGCATAATATACACAAGCTTTGTCCAAATCTGATTGGCAATGTGATAAGTAACAACAAATATAGAACTGAATGGAAATGAAAATTTCCCTGTATTATTTCTAAATCAAAACAAAGAGGGTAATGACGATCCTCTTCCCAACTCCCAGTCCAGAGTTCTCGTTTATTCCTCCCAAAATACCAACTGTTACTATGGACTTGCAGGCAACCGATCCGTATTGGTCTATCAGCTTCTCAGCCGGTCGGTCTCGGCAAGCCTCTTCTTGTCGTTCGGTCTCGACAGTTGTTGAGCAGATTTAATGCACAAATAAAGGTGGTAACGACTACCGTTAGACAATTAAGGTTTGCATTAATGACATTAAGAGGTAAATTAATTGGTCAGATTCCTTAAAACTCTATAAATAAGAGTTTAGGCTTGAGGTACAGACACATTTAACTCATACTACAATACGCCCTATTTACGTCCTATTAGGACTTCAATATTTAACTGTAACAAACAGTTCATAAAACCGCTCCTAACTTGATACCTCCTCTCTTTTACAAAGAGGGTGACTGAGCGGTCAAGACTGAAGTTCACCGAGCGGCCAATATTGAAGGTGACCGATCGGTCCAAACTGGAAGCAGACAAGCAGAGCGCACCAGTCGAAGGTTAGTGTCTCGGTCTCACAATCCCTACCGAAACATTTTGGCGTCCACTGTGGGGCCGAGATCAAGCTGAAGAAACCCAATGGTGACCACAAGAAATATGAAAGAGCAGAGCACCGAAGATTTAATCAGAGAGTTGCAAGCCCAGATTGAGGCACAGGCACAGACCATACAAGCGCAGGCGCATGCACAACAAGAGATGTAGCGGAGGCATGCGGAGGAGATGAGGGCGCTAAGGGCCGAACGGGACCCTCCCGAGCGGTCTGCCTCAAATCGAGAGAATGCTAATGAGGCGAGCTATAATCACGCCAACCTGAACGGTTGGGCTAGAAGGGAACCAACACCCCTACAGACCGTTCGACCTACCAGTTTATTTCCCTTCCCAGCGACCATCATGCAAACCCCAATGTCAGAGAAAACTCCTCCCATATTGGATAAGTATGATGGTTCAGCTGATCCGGATAATCACCTAAGGACGTTCGGTAATGCAATGGCATTCTATACAAACAGCGATCCGGTCATGTGCAGAGCCTTCTCATTATCACTTAAGGAAGAGGCATTGGAATGGTATAGCACTCTTCCTCCCAACACTGTGGATTGCTTCGCTACTGTGGAAAAACTCTTTAGAAGACAATACGCATCCAATCAAAAACAAGAGATAACACCGGCGGAATTGGTAAATACTAAGCAAGAGAAAGGAGAAACTTTGAAGGCTTTTATGAAAAGGTATACTGAAACCGCACGACGGGTTAGAAAGATCGATCAATCTTTTGTCATCAACAATTTGCCTTCATGTATTAGACCAGGATATTTTGCTAAAAAATTGTATGCACGACCACCAAAAACTATGGAGGAGCTTCAAGAGAGAGCAACTGAGTTCACCCGTATGGAGGAAATGTGATTGTCACAAAGGAAACGGCAACAAGAGGTTGATGTAGGCGGAAATAGAAAGGACGGCAAACGACCGTTTGGCGGTAACGATAAGATTAGGGAGCTTCCTCGAACATTCAAGTTTCACCATTATACAGCCCTCAATGCACCTAGGGCAAAAGTTCTCAAAGAAGCCCTTAGCGCGGAACTTCTCACACCTTGAAGGAAATCATCTCCAAGAAACGCAGATGAAAGGAAGAGTTGTCGGTACCATCAAAATCATGGACATACTACAGAAGACTGCATCACATTAAAAAATGAAATAGAAAATCTTATTCGGGGAGGACATCTCCGTAGGTACATAAAGGAAGCAAGATACAGCCTCCCCAGGGAAGTATATTCGTGAAGAAGCCTCGAACGAGCGAATAGGAAAGACGAGCGAGGGCGGGGCTATAGTCGCGGTCTCATTCGTCATCGGGAGCGATCGGTTCGTGGATTTATCAACTGAGGAGAAGCATCCAAAACTCTATTAATGTCATTTTTAAATTCAGTTTCATTTGATTTAGACTTTTGTTACTGCTTTACGCTTTCATTATGGAATAAATAAGGCCAAGTAACTGATGCCCAGTCAATCGTTCCCAACGTTGCTAAAGAAGTTCATATCCAACGAAAAAGTCTCTGAAGAAGAGTCTAAAGAAAAAGACCGAGCGGTAAATCCCGCTCGGCCGAGAGGTAAATCCCTCTCGTCAAAGTTGAAGTTAAAGACCAACAGGTAAAGCCCTCTTGGCCGAGAGGTAAAGCCCTCTCGTCCAGATTGAAGAAAAAGACCGAGCGGTAAATCCCACTCGGCGAAGAGGTAAATTCCTCTATAAAGATTCGAAGACCGAGCGGTAAAACCCACTCGTCCAAGAGGTAAATGGCTCTATAAAGATTAAAGACCAAGAAGTAAATCCCTCTATAAAGATTTGAAGATCGAGCGGCAAAACCCATTCGTCTAAGAGGTAAATCCCTCTCTAAAGATTTGAAGACCGAGCGGTAAATCCCACTAGGCGAAGAGGTAAATTCCTCTATTAAGATTTGAAGACTGAGCAGAATCCCGCTCGACCGAGAGGTAAATCCCTCTCGTCAAAGTGGAAGAAAAAGACCGAGCGTTACTGCTCGGCCCTCTTGGCCGAGAGGTAAAGCCCTCTCGTCCAGATTGAAGAAAAAGACTGAGCGGTAAATCTCACTCGGCCCTCTTGGCCGAGAGGTAAAGCCCTCTGAACCAGATTGAAGAAAAAGACCGAGCGGTAAATCCCGTTCGGCCGAGAGGTAAATCCCTCTCGTCAAAGTTGAAGTTAAAGACCAAGAGATAAAACCCTCTTGGCCGAGAGGTAAAACCCTCTCGGCAAAGTTGATGTTAGACCGAGAGGAAAATCCCTCTCAACCGAACGGTTTTTACTCTCATCAATCGGGAGGTTCTTATAACAAGGACTGTCAAGTATGCAGCCAGATTAATACATGAAACCGTTCGGCCTAAAAAGGATATAACGACTTGAAGCACACGGAAAACAATCTGCTCAATACAACGAGAACGACCTCCCTGAAACTCATAAGTCCTATAGTTAACCGCTCGGCTAAAGTCGAATGATTAACTTGGACTTGGGGGGCTTATGTTACTATGGACTTGCAGGCAACCGATCGGTATTGGTCTATCAGCTTCTCAGCCGGTCGGTCTCGGCAAGCCTCTTGTTGTTCGGTCTCGACAGTTGTTGAGCATATTTAATGCACAAATAAAGGTGGTAACGGCTATCGTTAGACAATTAAGGTTTACATTAATGACTATTAAGAGGTAAATTAATTGTTCAGATTCCTTAAAACTCTATAATAAGAGTTTAGGCTTGAGGTACAGACACATTTAACTCATACTACAATACGCCCTATTTACGTCCTATTAGGACTTCAATATTTAACTTTAACAAGCAGTTCATAAAAGCGCTCCTAACTTGAGCGTCAGAGTGCCTTTTGCAGGTACCTCCCCTCTTTTACATAGAGGGTGACTGAACGGTCAAGACTGAAGATCACCGAGCGGCCAATATTGAAGGTGACCGATCGGTCGAAACTAGAAGCAGACAAGCAGAGCGCACCAGTCGAAGGTTAGTGTCTCGGTCTCACAATCCCTACCGAAACACCAACCACCCATAAAGATTACATAAAACTACCTCTTATCTCTATGTTCTCTCCAAAACGTCAAAGATACCTACATTCCTTCCAAAAGCCACATAGGCAATTCTATTAGCAACAAAATCAATGTGTGTGTGCTTGCAGTTCCCATGCAATGGGTTTCCACTTCTTCCTCTCATAAACATGTTGAACCTTCCTCTTCAAATTCTTTGATTGTGCCACATTGTCAAGACCTATCTTGGTTAGCATCCAGGTAGTCATTGAAGCTAAGAGCCAGGCAACAAGAAGCTGATCTTGTTGCTCATGATTAAGAAATTCAACACTATTATTGCTATTGATGACATTTGCAAGGGTGTTGGAAAAATCTTTTTATTGGAGATTCCACGTTGATTAGAAATGAAACCAAGTTATAATATATAGGTTTAGTATCTATTTTCTTTAGTTTGGTTCAAAGTAGTCATCGATTTTTTTTGACATTCAAAAAGTGCTCTCAATTTTTGTTCAATTTAGTCATTTTGTTTCACAACGTTTAAATAGTTAAGGGTACAGTCAACATTAGTCATTACTAAACGAGGTGTACGTCTTTTGACATGCATGACAATGAGAAACTACGACATGGCAGTTTCATCTTTCTATCAAAATTAGGATTTTACTGTGGCGGAGGTTGTTGTTCGAAGATGGAGGGGTGAGAGGCCGTGGGATTTGGGATTTTCTAGTCTGGTCTTCTTTTGATTCATAGGTTGCTCGTAATGGAGAAGATGACAGATAACGCTATACATGGTGATGGCAACTAGGTTTCGTCGCGGTTCGAAAAGGGAGATTTGTAGTGGTGCAAATTGGCATTGCGATTTGGAATTGCAGGTTTAGGATACGATTTGCGATTTTGGGGTTTTGATTACTTTTTCGATTTGGGGCTTTCTAATTTGCAGGGTCGAACAAGATGATGGTTTTGTGATGGTTGTTGACAGCGTAAATGAAGGTTGATTGCAGTGGGTATAGTGGTTCACGGTGGTTAACGGAGTGACATTGTGATTTTTATTTTAGGTTGCTCGCGGTGGTACTCATGGTGACGAGGAAGGAGATGCAAGTGGTTGATGTGGTGGTCAAACAATGGTGGCTTGCAACACTACCCCGACGTGGTTCGTTGTTGGTGGGTGGTGGCGTGATTCTAGGTGGTGTTTTGGTTCATGGTGTTTGATGAAGAACAGACTCGCAATGGCCATGGCGATTTGGTCTTTGGTGGCATGATGATGAACAGTAGTGGCTAGCGGTGGCTCTGTAAGCGAGTCCATGTGTAATGTCATCTTCCTCGTTACTGTGCCACATTGCTTTTCTTTTTTTGATAAGTTTCAGACCACACGTTGTTTTTCATCATGTTCACGAGCCTCTTTTGTTGCTTTATATTTTTTGTTATACTCCTCCACCTGATAGTTTCCTTCAGTTGCTTTTACTTGTTTACGTTTTTCTTGCACATTAGATGCTTCTCTTTCCTTCTGACCATGTTTTTGAGCTCCAGTACCTTGCACCAAATTCTTCCATTCCCGCCAGTTCAAAAAAATCAGATTCATATTTCCGTGTTCCAACTTTTGTGCTTCCATCGAATTCTATAAATGATTGGGATTCCATCTTGTTCTTTTTCTCAAACATGCTTACTGCGCTTTTCCCTTCTAAATTTTCCATAGTTTCTGGGGATGTTTACCAATACTTCACTGGGTGTGTTGCTTCCCACTAATAGAAATAGTTCTTTATTAATTTATCTATTTCCATCAACAACAATTTTCTCTATGTTTCTTCTCTCTAAGCACTTCAAATGATTCTTTTCCAGCTAACTGAACTGGTATCCAACTAAAACAAGCATGCTTCTACAACATAAATTCAATTCAAGCTCGAAAAATAGCACATAAAAATTAAATTAAAAAAATTAATAAAGCAAGAATTATAACCTTGTAAACGGTAATGTTACCAACGCGATCCGACACAACGACCTCAAACACAGTGACCAAATCCGCAACTCGGTTGAAGTAAATCCTTTCACAGATCTTTTGCAAATTCTCTAACACGGGTTCAAACGCCAAAACCTGAAACCCCATGGCAGAGGCGGCGAAGGTAGCCATACCCACGTTGGCACCAACGTTGACGACCAACCCATCCTTGCCCTTGCTCTTGGCCTTATCGAGCAGGTCCTGAATGGTGACAGAGATGTCGGGCTTGCGAAAGGGCTTCTCTTTGAGCATCCTTACGATGTTCTTGTGAGGCTTGTCGGGGAGGGTTCCGAAATCGGAGAGGGAGAAGAGGAAGGGGTAGCGCAAGCCCTCGACGGTGTCGACGAAGACGGGATGAGCCTGGGAAAGGCGGAGTAGTCGAAGGGGGAGACTGCTTTCAAGGAGAGGAACCATAATCAGGCTTGGCCTTTGTGGGTTTTTTTGGGCTTGCGATTTTGGGTCTTGCTTTGGATCTGCCGATGAATCCACCGGCTCCGATGAAATCATGAATCAGAATAGAAGAACCCTAATCTAATTTAGAGAAGAAAATATACGTGACAGACACCTAACATAGAAGTTGACATTGTTGACCTCACACGTGGACTCACCGTTTGTCACATCAAACAAAAGTTAACACCGTTTAATTTTAAGGACTAATTGTAATAGTTTCAAAACTAAGAGGACTAAAAGGAACAAAAGTTTTGAATAGGGACTAAACCCAAAATCGTGTGATACTTAAGGGACGAAAAATATATTTAATTTTTTTAAATATTATAGTAGTAAGTACTATGTAGGACTTACGTCTTTCAACTTTAATACAATATTCTTTTGAGCATAGTCTAAAGTTTCCAATTGTCCAATTAATTCAATTTTGAAACTAGTCTTAATAACAAAAAGAATAATATATATAATTTACAATAATAATAAAGTTTAGAAGCCAATTATTCAAATTAAAAATATTTTTCAGAAAATATAAATTTTCTTAGGCTTTAGATAATTTGATGTCTAAGGAGATTGCCAAAATGTCCTTGGAGTTGCTCTCACGAATAATATTTAAAAGTGATTATTATATGGGTTAGAAGCTCCTAAAGGACATTAATTTTCTTTTTTTTTAATAAAAAAACATGTTCAATTTAATAAACGTTGCTGTGAGTATTGCAAAAGACCTCTTTTTTTGTCACATATTACTTAGACCACATTCTTTTAAAGAGTTTATATACTAAGAAACTTTTAGTGACAAAGGAAGTAGGTCTCACACTCATAAATGTGTGAACCCTATGCACATTTCAGTTTAAATTATGTCTATCTAAATTTCCCTCCTTGCGCGTGCAATAAGCATTAAAGCCTATACGAATATTCCTTTGTTTCGGCCTATGGTTGCTGGATTCATGGGAGTTTGCTACTGTGTGGAACAAAGGAGCATGACAAACTTGGAAACCAATACATTGTTTTATTCTTCGTTGGAAATATATTATAAAATTTCATGACATATTGAATAGTCTGATGAGTATTCTGGTTTTTATTTTTTGAAATGACAATTAATAGGGTATTTATAAAAGAAGACTTCTCCGCCAAGCTGTGAAAGAGATACGTACTGATCAGACTTTAGATGATGGATTTAGCTGGAGAAAATATGGGCAGAAGAACGTTCTTGGAGCTAAGTATCCGAGGTTAGTTAAAAGCTCTGTATTCATTCGGCTTTCTCTTGTTATTAAACACGTCTAATTAATATTTGAAATTTGTTATTTAAATTCTCATCTGGAACATTAACTCCAATGAAACTTGGACGTAGGATGACGTGCAGATGCAATAATTCACAATATATTAATTTCAATGGCGCGTACTGTTTCAAAGATGAATCATCCCAAAACTTCAGGCCATTTGGCGCAGAACATGAATAATGAATATAGTTGAACATTAACTAGAAATATAATTAAATTATAATATATAAATAAATGAAATCTCATTTCATAAATTAGTTTTGGGAGCTTGAATATATTATTTACTACAACTGTCCCAATGTATAAAACAAAACGGCTTCTATTAATACATTTATTTGCTATACTAACTTTGCCCGTCTAATGTTTATATTAAGAACATATAAAGAAGATATAGTTTTACCGAAAAATTGACAACAACTACTTTGCACTGCAGAGCATATTACCGCTGCACGCATAAAAGCACACAAGGGTGCCCAGCAACAAAACAAGTTCAAAGGTTAGATGGCGACCCAACAACATTTGAGTTAACTTACATCGGAACTCATAGTTGCACCCAAAAACAGGATTTAATAGCAGAAAGTGGAGATGCCGAAGTATTAGTAGCAGAAAGTAGAGATGCCAAAGTATTAGTAGCAGAAAGTGGAGATGCCGAAGTATTAGAAGATTTTTGGGGAAAAGCAAATTCTGCATCATCTAGCAACAAAAGTTCTATTACTGTTTTGGAGGGAACATCACCTGAACCAAAACAACTTCAGATGAGTCTACCTTCAGAAGATGATTTAGATTTTGGTCTATTTACATTTTTAGATGACCTAATTTAAACAAATAGGGTAAAAAACTTATCAAATTTACATTTTTAGATGACCTATTTTAAACAAATAAGGTAAAAAACTTATCAAATTTATGATGTTAGACTTCTTAATATGTGTTAACAAATTGTGAAAACTATTTTTTCAGAATGGGTAAGATCTCACCTTCTGAGAGTTAAAGATTTAAAATTAATGGAGTTTGTTACGAACATAAATCGAAATTGGATAAATGAAGGTTGCATAAGTGAAAATATGAAAAAAGAGTTTCTGAATTCTTGCAATATGCTCAATAATACAATCTCTGTGAATTCAATATATTTTTGTTCTTCTGTTCATTGTCTTAATCAAATACATCAAGACTTGGACACAATGCAAGATCATTTATTCATCTTCGATATAGCGATGAGTTATATAGTTTGGACTTGGCATAGAGAAATATTACACAATCCTATGATGTCATGAGGAACGAAATATGTAGATGAAAGGATAATATCTATAAAGGACATATGTTGATGAAGAAAGTTTTGGAAGAACTCATTTTTACGATTCTCTTAAGTCTGATTTTGAAGAAGAGTTATACTTAGGATGTGCTAACTTTACACGACCGTTAACAACTTTGAAATTGTTTAGTTTAACAGCAAGAAATGAATGGACTAATAAAAGTTTTATAAAATTGTTGGAGTTATTTAAGGAAATGATTCTAGAAAATAACACGTTTTTATTCTTAATTACGAGACAAAAAATTTTATGTCGACTGGAGTGCAAAATGATACATGCATGCTCCAATGATTGTGTATTGTATAAAAATGAATTTGTTTCACTCAAGACTTGTCTAACACATGGTTTATTGTATTTTAGAAAAATATTGATAGAAATAGTGGTGATGAAGACACATATGGTCTACTGCTAAGGTGGTATGGTACTTGTTTATAATATTTAGGTTGAAATGATTGTTTATCATTAAAAAAGAAAGTGTGATCATCTTCTTTGACATCCAACTGATTGTCTACAATGAAAAAATATTAATGAAACATTTCTAGGATTTGGTGTAGAGTAAAGAAACTTAAGACTTGGACTTCCTACCGATTGAATGAATCCTTATGAGAACTTAAATAACAAACATAGTCCGTGTTCAATTTTGTTGATGATTTATATTATATCACCTTTGTTGTTCATGAATAGAAAATATATAATGTTGCCTATGATGATATTGAATGTTGAACAATTTGAAAATGACATTGATGTATACTTGAAGTCATAATGATGTAATACCAGAAGGCCTACTCCCCCTAATTGTTGATCTTGCTGTTAACCAACTAATTCAAACTTTGTTTTCTGGAGATTACTGTGCGCGCTATATAAGATTGTTGACTAGAAACTCGTCTGGAAAAGAATCTGTAGTGAACAAAATACTACCAGCCTTAGAAGATAAACACGACATGTTTGGAATCGACAAAGACTTTCTGATGGCCCTATGGATCAATGCCTTGACAAGTGAGACTGATGCAGAGGTTCAAGTTCAAGAAGAAATCAATATGATCATGGGAAGCATTTCTATGACAGAGGGTGATGACTTGTTAACTACAGTAGACACTGACAAAAAGAAGAGGAGCAATAGGCTGTTGCTGATTGTAGTGGATGCAGATAGAAACAGGAAGCTGAACCTCCAAAAAGTTATTATTATTGTGTTTCGGTAGGGATTGTGAAACTTAGACACTAACCTTCGACTAGTGCGTTCTGCTTCTCTACTTCCAGTTTGGACCGATCGGTCACCTTCAATATTGGCCGCTCGGTGAACTTCAGTCTTGACCGCTCAGTCACCCTCTCTGTAAAAGAGGGGAAGTACCTGCAAAAGGCACTCCGACGCTCAAGTTAGAAGCGGTTTTATGAACTGTTTGTTACAGTTAAATATTGAAGTCCTAATAAGACGTAAATAGGGTGTATTGTAGTATGAGTTAAATGTGTTTGTACCTCAAGCCTAAACTCTTATTTATAGAGTTTTAAGGAATCTGACCAATTAATTTACCTCTTAATGGTCATTAATGCAAACCTTAATTGTCTAACGATAGCCGTTACCACCTTTATTTGTGCATTAAATATGCTCAACAACTGTCAAGATCGAACGACAAGAGGCATGCCGAGACCGACCGGCTGAGAAGCTGATAGACCAATACCGATCGGTTGCCTGCAAGTCCATAGTAACATAAGCCCCCCAAGTCCGAGTTAATCGTTCGGCTTTAGCCGAACGGTTAACTATAGGACTTATGAGTTTCAGGGAGGTTGTTCTCGTTGTATTGAGCAGATTGTTCTCCGTGTGCTTCAAGTCGTTATATCCTTTTTAGGCCGAACGGTTTCATGTATTGAATCTGGCTGCATACTTGACAGTCCTTGTCATAAGAGCCTCCCGATTGATGAGAGTAAAAACCGTTCGGTTGAGAGGGATTTTCCTCTCGGTCTGACATTAACTGTGCCGAGAGGGTTTTACCTCTCGGCTAAGAGTGTTTTATCTCTTGGTCTTTAACTTCAACTTTGACGAGAGGGATTTACCTCTCGGCCGAGCGGGATTTACCGCTCGGTCTTTTTCTTCAATCTGGTCGAGAGGGCTTTACCTCTCGGCCAAGAGGGCCGAGCGAGATTTACCGCTCGGTCTTTTTCTTCAACTGTGACGAGAGGGATTTACCTTTCGGCCGAGCGGGATTTACCACTCGGTCTTTTTCTTCAATCTGGTCGAGAGGACTTACCTCTCGGCCAAGAGGGATGAGCAGTAATGCTCGATCTTTTTCTTCAACTTTGACGAGAGGGATTTACCTCTCGGCCGAGCGGGATTTACTGCTCGGTCTTCAAATCTTTATAGAGGAATTTACCTCTTCGCCGAGTGGGATTTACCTCTCGGTCTTCAAATCTTTATAGAGGGATTTACATCTTGGTCTTTAATCTTTATAGAGGGATTTACCTCTTGGACGAGTGGGTTTTACCACTCGGTCTTCAAATCTTTATAGAGGAATTTACCTCTTCGCCGAGTGGGATTTACTGCTCGGTCTTTTTCTTCAATCTGGACGAGAGGGCTTTACCTCTCGGCCAAGAGGGCTTTACCTCTTGGTCTTTAACTTCAACTTTGACGAGAGGGATTTACCTCTCGGCCGAGCGGGATTTACCGCTCGGTCTTTTTCTTCAGACTCTTCTTGAGAGACTTTTTCGTTGGATATGAACTTCTTTAGCAATGTTGGGAACGATTGACTGGGCATCAATTACTTGGCCTTATGTATTCCATAATGAAAGCGTAAGGCAGTAACAAAAGTCTAAATCAAATGAAACTGAATTTAAACATGACATTAATAGAGTTTTGGATGCTTCTCCTCAGTTGATAAATCCACGAATCGATCGCTCCCGATGACGACTGGGACTACGACTATAGCCCCGCCCTCGCTCGTCTTTCCTATTCGCCCGTTCGGGGCATCTTCGCGAATATTCTTCCCTGGGGAGGCTGTATCTTGCTTCCTTTATGTACCTATGGAGATGTCCCGCCCGAATAAGATTTTCTATTTCATTTTTTTAATGTGATGTAGTCTTCTGTAGTATATCCATGATTTTGATGGTACCGACATCTTTTCCTTTCATCTGCGTTTCTTAGAGATGGTTTCCTTCGAGGTGTGAGAAGTTCCGCGCTAAGGGCTTCTTCGAGAACTTTTGCCCTAGGTGCATTGAGGGCTGTATAATGGTGAAACTTGAATGTTCGGGGAAGCTCCCTACTCTTATCGTTACCGTCGAACGGTCGTTTGTCGTCCTTTCTACTTCCTCCTACATCAACCTCTTGTTGTCGTTTCCTTTGTGACAATCGCATTTCCTCCATACGGATGAACTCAATTGCTCTCTCTTGGAGCTCCTCCATAGTTTTTGGTGGTCGTGCATACAATTTTTTCGCAAAATATCATGGTCTCATACATGAAGGCAAATTGTTGATGACAAAAGATTGATCGATCTTTCTAACCCGTCGTGCAGTTTCAGTATACCTTTTCATAAAAGCGTTCAAAGTTTCTCCTTTCTCCTGCATAGTATTTACCAATTCCGCCGGTGTTATCTCTTGTTTCTGATTGGATGCGTATTGTCTTCTAAAGAGTTTTTTCGCAGTAGCGAAGCAATCCACTGTGTTGGGAGGAAGAGTACTATATCATTCCAATGTCTCTTCCTTAAGTGATAATAAGAAGGCTCTGCACATTACCGGGTCGCTGTTTGTATAGAATGCCATTGCATTACCGAACGTCCTTAGGTGATTATCCGGATCAGCTGAACCATCATACTTATCCAATATGGGAGGAGTTTTCTCTGGCATTGGGGTTTGCATGATGGTCACTGTGAAGGGAAATAAACTGGTAGGTCGAACGGTCTACAGGGGTGTTGGTTCCCTTCTAGCCCGACAGTTCAGGTTGGCGTGATTATGGCTCGACAGTTCAGGTTGGTTCCCTTCTGCATCTCTTGCTGTGCATGCGCCTGCACTTGTATGGTCTGTGCATGTGCCTCAATCTGGGCTTGCAACTCTCTGATTAAATCTTCGGTGCTCTGCTCTTCCATATTTCTTGTGGTCACCATTGGGTTTCTTCAGCTTGATCTCGGTCCCACGGTGGGCGCCAAAATGTTTCGGTAGGGATTGTGAGACCGAGACACTAACCTTCGAATGGTGCGCTCTGCTTGTCTGCTTCCAGTTTGGACCGATCGGTCACCTTCAATATTGGCCGCTCGGTGAACTTCAGTCTTGACCGCTCAGTCACCCTCTTTGTAAAAGAGGGGAGGTACTTGCAAAAGGCACTCCGACGCTCAAGTTAGGAGCGATTTTATGAACTGTTTGTTACAGTTAAATATTGAAGTCCTAATAGGACGTAAATAGGGCGTATTGTAGTATGAGTTAAATGTGTTTGTACCTCAAGCCTAAACTCTTATTTATAGAGTTTTAAGGAATCTGACCAATTAATTTACCTCTTAATGGTCATTAATGCAAACCTTAATTGTCTAACGGT